GCCATGCATGATCTTGCTCGTTTCCACCCTGGACCTGGGACCCATGGTGGGCGCTCTCGTAGCGATCTCCCATCGCGGCGACCACTGGCAGTCACGACCAACGAGACGACCGATAACGACAACACACACTAGACACCGTGGCCCTCAACGTTATTCGCTGGCTCATCGCAGTCTCCAGCGTAGCGCCTACGTGAATTCGCTGGCTTCATTCTCCAACACGCGGCCGTAGACCATCTCGAGGTGCAGGTCCGTCGCCTCGGCATGGACGCTGGCGATGCGGCGCGTCGCGTCGTCGTTGGGGTCGTACGCGGCTGTCGTCGCTAGTACGTCTCGCGCCAGCAGCACGACCAAGCTGTCATCTTGGCGCCAGCGCCAGAGCGTTCGGAGACCATGCCCTCGATCTGACGGATGGTGGGGCCATGCAAAGACGTGTAGATGCAGCCCGTCGGCGTCCCTCCAGCCGACATAGTGAGCGTCGGCCGAGGCGCCGTGCGGCCACGAGTGCATCGCGTGGGGCGCGTGGTCCAGCGAAAAGGCGGTCGGCGGCGCCGGCCACGCCGGCCATTGGCTCTGCACCTACAGAAGCCACGATGAGTCATCGTGTCATTGGCCACACGACCACTGGACGATCTCGCCATATTGAAATATCGTCCGGTGACACTTGGTGTTTCTATGTGCTTTTTTACGCGCGACACAATTCGTGTGCCGGCGCAACAACGTACCGAGAAGACATGTCCGTCGAGAGAGAGACGGAGACCAGACGCGCCGAGCCAGCTCCAGAGCACGTCGAGAAAGGCCATGGGCTGCACAGCTCGGACGCTCGGCGATGCGGCGCGCCAGGCCCACACGCCGCTGAAGACCGCTTCGGACATGAGCGGTGGCACAGTCGCCCGCGCCTACTTGGTGCTGCGTCAGCGCCATCGCGAGGCGTCCCGTACCGAGTGCGACGTCCGCAGGATGTGGGCAAAGGCCTCAAACCCGATCGCGTGCGACGGGCGCGACACGGTCGGCGGCGGCAGCTGCTCCGAGAGACTGCCCACGCTCTCGCCGAGCGTCGCCAAGACCGCGTCGAGGCTGGTGGCGAGCGAGTCGACGGCGCGGTTGTACGCTTCGTGGAGCGCCGTGTTGTCGTAGACGCTGCTGGCGTGTCGACGGCAAAACGCGTGGAGCGAAGACGACGACGTGACGAACCACGAGATGACGGCGAGCGCGACCGTCTCGAGCCGCGACGTCGAGTCGTCAAACGGCGCGAGCTGGCGCAAGAGGAAGGCTGTGGGCGGCTGTCGCACGCCGGGCACCTGACGGGCGATATTGGCCCAAACACGAGTCTCCAACGCCGGAGCGACTGCCGAGACGGGCACCTGCGCGCACAACGCAAAGAGCTGGAGGAGTCGGCCGGCCGTCTCTTGCGTGGACGAGCGGGACAGCTCGGCGTATTTGACGGTCCACGGCTTGGCACGTTGCACCGGTGGCGTCGACGGCGCAGAGCAAGACGTCGATTGCGGCTTTGCCCGGCGGCGGTACGATTTGATTGTGAACGGCGTTGACGCGAGCTCGTCTAGGATGCGCACGCGATGGGCTGCGAGCCGGCGGCAGAGGTACACCTACGTACGCCCGACGCTACCACCGTGTCGAGTGGGCTCCACACGTCGTACGTGGAAGACGTGACGCTCGCTGCGCTTCTTGCTGCTGGAGCTGCTCTGCCACTCGTAGTGCCACCCGTCGCGTCCCTGGTCGTTGAAGTGGAAGCAGTCGACGCCCTACACCCCGTGTCGTTGCGTATACGAGCAGTGTACGTACGTTGTGTCGGCCACGGACGCCCATGAGCCAGACGCCCGTGGGATTGGCCGAGCTGCGCACCTTGCGCGGGTCAATCTCTAGCTCGGCTGCTGCGCGGTCGCTCGAGAGGCTCTCGAAGCGGGCAACCGCGATGACGCCGTCGGTCGTGGTCACCCGGACGCTCACGGATGCACCGCAGCCGCGGCTACCGCTGTGTGGGCAGCACTCGGGGCTGCAGTGCGGAAAGCAGCTACGCACACCTCAAGCCGACATGCCAGCAACGGAGGAGCATACCGCACAAGCTAGTGCGGCAAGCATGAGCTGTCGACAGATCAGTGCTGCGTACCTTGAGCCCTTGGTTCTGATGGCACCTACGAGCATCCTGCAGCGAGCGCTGGTCTCGACGAGAGAGCGTACCGGACGTAGCTCTCGTTGAAGACGCGCGGCCGCGTGCACGCCTGCCGGAAGAACTCCATCTATCTCGTCGACTGAAGACAGCCGTCTCTTGGAGACCACTGCATCTTTGTATGCGGTGGCACAGAGCCAATCAGCGTTGACTGAAGCGAGCTCTAGCTGATGGCGTTGACTAGCTGCGTCATGGTTCGTGGTTCTATCGAGCGACGTGCTGAAGCTTGGGATTGCGTCCTTGGCTGCCATCTGCATTTGGTGCAACGGGACGAAGATTCCACAGCAACGAGACCTCTGGAACCATCCCAGCACAAACACACAGCACACGCGCGAATCGCGAGCCCGACCACATTCGACCGCGCTACGCCGACTTCATGTACCGCGTCGTGCTAGGAGCTGTCGCGGCCCGCACCCGGCTCTACTGTCTTGGCGACGACACCCAAGGCTATTCCGTTTGCGGCGCTCCCGAGACGTACGAACACCTTCTGCTCCGCCGCGAACTGGTCACCGCGGTCTGCGCCTTCATTCGGCCGCTCGTCGACGCGCTGGAGCTGGATCTCCCTCGCGCTTCTGCTTGAACCACTGGTGAAAGCCCCACGCTATCGACGACGCGCGATCGCCATGGCCGATTCTACGCGCCTGCGTGCTCCACACCGTCTGCCCCAGAAACGACCGAGTCTTCCGCTCCGAGGTGCCCAAAGCGGCCGCCACTCGCACCGCGTTCTTGACCAAGCTCCACCTTCAATACTTGCTGCTATATACACAAGCGCTGTGTCTCTTCCGATGGATGAACGTCCCACCGCCTGGCATCGCGACCACCTCGTTCCAGCGTGCGCCATCCATACGCCTTGCCTCCGCAACAGCGAAGCCGTCAGCCCCAACACGCTCTGAGTCGAAAGTCCACCTCTACTTCAGTGCAAATTAAACTATCTAAATACACTCGAACCGACCATAGCTCAGTTGGTAGAGCGTTTGACTGTAGTTAGGTATTCGCATACGAATTCGGAAATACACTCACTTCAACAACAGCGCTTCGGGCACTGATCGTGAGATCTGTCCGGGCGGATTGCATGCATCCCATCACCTCGTTGACGTCCAAAATATCAGTCTGTCAACCAAGCACCGACGATACCACTCGCATGCCTGGATTCCACCTGCATCGGCTTCCATTACAACGCATGGGCCTCCGCTCCACCAGCACCACCGTCGCGGACGCGGCTGGTCCAAGAACGTGCAACGAACGTGCAAAACGTCCAAGATACTCGTCCAATTGTCCACGAAACGGACGGCCAGTACACATCCTTCTGCTTCTGATTGGTGTAGAGACGAGAGAGACGGACGGTTGATAGCTTTATGCGTCGTCGACGCGGTGGCGGATGTAGACGACGTTGGCGTGGAGCAAGACTCGGGACCGCGGCATTCGCTCGAGGCACTCGATGCGCACGTCGGCCGTCGAGCCGAAAAAGTCGATCGAGGGCGCCGGGACGACATCAACGACGACGCAGACGTCGAGGCGATCGGGCGAGTGCAGACGTAGGTCGAGCCGGATGATGTAGCAGTACGCAGAGGCCGATGCGGTGCCGGGCCAGCTGTACAGATGCAGATGCAGCTCATCGTCGTCCTCGTCCGTCGAGGTGGCGGCGGTTCGGGACGACCACGCGACGTAGTCGCCATGGAGCGTGCTTGTCTCGTCAAGCAAGGTCGACTCGCCGTTCGGGAAGGCTTGGAAGACGCGCGGGCGCTGGTCGAGTTCGAAGCGCGTCCAAACAGCCGGCCACAAGGTCACGTGACTTCGCACCTAAGAGGCACACATCTCGTCATCAGCACCTGTCCAAATCGTCCAAGCCACGGGTCGAAATGTCCATCGACACTTGGGTTTTGTATCGAATTAAATAAACGATCCAGCGGCAAGTGGATGGCCAGCATCCTTTCACGTACATGCAAGCCTCGGTCGTCGACGCAGAGGCCGAGACCGTACACCATCGAGAGCACCTTGTGCACATCCACGAGGCGTGGCGGTGCCGCTGGGGCCCAGCGCCGAACGTCGGGCGTCGCCTCGTGCCAGACCCAGACGCCGTTGTAGCCGTGCGACGTGAGACGCGGCGCCTGAAACCCTTGCGTCTACGGCGACCTTAGCAAAGGCGACATGCATGTACGGTACCATGTACGACTCGCGCATGACCTTGACGAGCGTCGTGTAGCCAACAGCGTGACTGGAGGTCGACGGCGCCGGCGGCAGTTGCTCGGCCAAGCTCGCCAAGCTCTCATCCAAGTTGCTCAAGAGTGAGTCAATTGTCGCCGCGAGGGTGTCGACGGCCTTGTTGTAGACCTCATGCAGCGCGACGTTGTCGACGACGGCCGCGTGGTGCCGGGCACAGAAGGCCTCGACCCACGATAGCGTCGACGGGTGGAACCACCACGCAATCACGTGCAAGGCGACAGTGACGAGGGCCGATGGCGGCGGGTGCAGTGGTGCTCGGACGCCCACCAGCGGCACGATCGGCGGCGACGGCCCGCGCAGGTGCCCGTGGATACGCTCGTGCAGCTGGCTCACGATCGAGGCTTCCGTGACCTCCCACCCGTCCGCGAGGACGTCGATCGTGATCGCATCGCAAAAGGTAAAGAGCCGAAGGAGTCGCAGCGCCGACTCTTGCGTCGACGACTGCGGGAGCACGACGAGCTCCACGGGCAGCGGCGTCGAGGAGAAGGGCGGCGGCGGCGCCGTCGCCCGACCGCGCACGGCCAGCGCCGGCCCATTGGTCTTCGTTTGGCTCTTCGCGCGGCGGTACGAAGAGAGCGTGAAGGGCGGAGATGTCAGAACACGCAACACGACGAGCGCACCTGCCTCGTCGATGCGGAAGAGGTACACCTACACAGGTGGTGGCCATAGAGTACAGGCGAAGCAATGCCGTACGACCAAGTGGTGCAGCTCGGAGCGCTTCTTGGTGCTCGAGCCGCCGTGCCAGTCGTAGTGCCAGCCTTCGCTGCGTTTCTCGTTAAAGTGAAAGCACAGCTGGTTCTACGAGATGCGTCTGTCGCAAAGCGATCGAGCGACAGAGGTGGGTACGTCATCCATGATTTCTGGCGCGCCTTTAAGCCACGTGCCCGTGAGGTTGGCCCGGGACCGCAGATCAGCCTCCAACTCGGCGCGCTGGACGGTGTCGCCGGCGGCAAACATCGGTGCGCTCGCTGTCTGGAAGCGCGCGTACGCCACGGTGGTCGTGGCCTCAAGCGGCGAGAGAACGCGGACGCTCACGGACGTGCCGCAGCCGCGGTAGTACGTGTGCTGGCAGCAGCTTGGGTCGCAATGCGGAAAGCAGCTACAAGGTGGAAGAGTGGGATGCGCCAGCCCGCTGCCACATACCGGATGACCTACGCTGCTATGAGTTCTACGGAGGCGACGTGCGCACGTTACCTTGAGGCCTTGGTTCTGGTGGCACCTATTGGCGATGCATGAGCAGCTGACGACAGGCGGGCCATGGCTACCGGACGTAGGCTCTGTTGAAGACGTCGGGCTTGGCGCACGTGGTCCGGAAGAAGACGGCGTCGATCGTTGCCATGACCCACACGACCAGACCAGCGACCGCAGATTCCGCCGGTGCGACCTCGAACCGACGACTGTCTCTTGGTTCTGCCTTGGGGTTTGTATTGATTACGTTTCGGTTATTTTCGGACATCATTCCAAGTAGCCAATCAAATCCGTGGAAAGTGCCGATTTGTATATGTCGAAGTTCGAAGTCCTTGTGGAAGATGGCACTGTCGGCACGCAATTCATGAGCGGACGGTGCAGGCGCATCAGAGGCAGCCAACGATCGATGGCTCTATTCCTTGCATGTTTATAGCCAAACGTGGTGTGAGTTTGTGCTGCTCAAGACACGACAGAATGTGGTGCATTCATACTAGTACCGGTAGTTCTTGGTCGTGCGAAGTGCGTGGCCCGCGCAGTCTCTGTCCTCGCTTGCATGCAAGAAATGGGGCGTTAGGAGCAGTTTAAATACCCCGCGAATTGATATCGTGCGGCTCAAAACAAAACGCTCGAGCGATGGGAGCCTCCGACTCGTTGCGACCCTTGCTAGATAATAATAGCCATTGAATGACCATAAAAGTTGCGTGCTGCAAGTGCACCGAAATCTCAAGGTAACAGTCGAAGATAGGCGAAGTTCTACTCTCAGATATCATTTTAGAGATGGACCCTCGGCGGTGCGATGAATCAACAACGAAAGCGCAGTCTGCGGACCGGCCTATATGTCACAGAGGCGTCGTGCACTAGACCAGCGATCGAGGAAGCACCACGCAGAGCATTTCCATAGCTAGACGAAGCACCCAAAACGACACTCCGTCGCGCAAGTGTGACCATTCGATCCAAACACTCGTGGGAAACTCAATTCGAGCGTTGTCTTTTGATGGGTTCTAATTGGAGCGTCGTGTCGGCTCTATTTACTCCTTCCAACCTCCGCAAGATGTGCTCTACAGCTTTTCTAGGGTCTTGGTAAAGCTTTATCACGGGAAAAATCGAGGGACATTTCAACGTACAACACATACGGGAGCGACGCTCCAATTGAATTGCCCTGCAGTCGTTGGTGGATTTTGGCCGAGATGCGACATCGCGACGGAGTCTTTTGCCACTCCCGAAGAAGACTTGATGCGACTGTGATGCTTCATTGTCGTCATGCGTTTTGATATATATATACTGGACGATTGCGGGAATGGTTGGGCCTGGGCATGAGGCGTGCGTCCTCGCCGCAGTGGCGCTGGTCTTGCCCCGTTCAAAGATTTTGGTGCGATGGAACTGTTAATGCTAGCCGTGGAGGGTGCCTTGGAATGCTGCAAGTTACTGCAAGAGTGCAAAAGCCAAAGTGATTGATCTTAGACGAACCTATCCTATCGTGCTAGTCTACGTTTGTCTGTGGTCCATCTTGATGGTTGGCCTTCGTGCCTTGAGTGGGGACGAGTGGAGCTCGACGCTTCCATCGTGGGCCGGGCCCGAGTCACCTGGCTGGAACCCCGTTCGTTCTCCAGCCGGTCCGTGTAACCGACAGTTACACGGTGGACTCGGTGCCGGGGACCATCTTCTGACAGGAACCATGCTTCACGACACGATAGCGCGGACCGCCTTTCACTAGCATTAATCGTATTCATTCAGACGAGGGTTGCGGCGCGCGATCGAATCGGACGTCGGCATGGCAGCGCCGCAGAGACTTTGCCATTAGAGATAGGGCACGATGTCCGAGGGTAACGGAGCCGAAAACGCTTGGTATAAAGACCGGGGCGTTTGCGCGGCAGACGCATCGGCAACACGCGGCTTTTAGAGTGCTACGGGTACTAAACGTGCAGATCGTCGAGGACCTCGACCCTTTGTGTTCGAGCTGCGCGAAGCGACGGCCATTGTAGTCGACTTCGCAGGGCCTGGTTTGTCCTCGGGTCGGCGTGGGAAACACCGGCATGTACGTTAGTAGCAACGATTGACCAAGGCAGCGCTAATTGAGACCCGGAAGCAGCGATGGAGATGGCGCGGCAACCTGCGCTATGGCTGCTGGGTGCTATTACCACTGGCTGGGTAGTCTGTCCGCGCTGTTCTGGCGGTTTGCCGACGTGTACCAAGGGACTCTCCTCTGCAGTTGCCACTACACGGGCTGTTCGAGACACAAGACCTGACGTCCACGGGTTGACAGACAATATGATCGGTAATTTCTGTCGAGATGCACCGTACATCGTAAATGTGGTCTTCGATTGGGCAGCATACAAATTGATCGCTGAGCACAAGAGACATTTCTGAAAAAGCGCATGCGACTTGCGTACTTCCGGCGGGACTGCGACCGCGCAGACGTCTTTGAGTCGACCTACCTCCGGTACGACGACCCTGGATACTATGCTTGAGGAGGTCTTCATACCGTGCCCCACAGCTGCCACCACGCGCATGGTCTCAAGGTAACGTTACCGCGACCGGCCATCCATCCGTCGTCCCACGACTCGCGTAGGTGCTCCGGTACACAGCGACGCCAGTGGCAACGGCTGCATGCTCACGGACGCCCGTAGATGCTTTCCGCACTGCAGCCCCGTCTGCTGCCCGCACAGCTCATACCGCAACTGCGGCGCGTCCGTGAGCGTCCGTATCACGGGCATCGACG